GATTGTCCTCTACTAGGGCATCCTCTAGAAAATAAAAAAAAAATACTGGGTGCTGGTGACTCACACCTGTAATCTTAGCTACTTGGGAGGCTGAGATTGGGTCGATCAAAGTTTGAGGCCAGCCTGGGCAAATAGTTCAAGAGACCCCCCATCTCCAAAATAATCAGAACAAAATGGACTGGAGGTGTGACTCAAGCTGTAGAGTGCCCGCTTTGCAAGCATGAAATCCTGAGTTCAAACCCCCCAGTCCCACCAAAAATAAAATAAGAGTAGTTGTCGTTTTCCATGAGCTGTTTAGAAAGCCACAAGCACCGCTGCCATGAGGTCCCGGGGGACCCATCAGCAGGTGCTGAGAGGTGTGGACAGTGGGGATGGCCCTGAACCCTGGCATGAATTCAGCAAGCAGAGGTGGAGGCCCTGGAGAAGTGGCTGGCGAGGTTTCCGTTCATCACAGAAATGGCCCATTTGCAATGATCGCTTGCCCAGGTGTTAATAACACTAATGGCGGAGGCATGGTAAACTTGGTCACTCGAACAGAAGAAATATGCAGAGACGCGCTCGGCCTTCCATAAATCAGCCGTGTGCGGCTTGACGAGGGAGGCAGGACTTAAAATTCCAGTCAGGAGACCGGGCCGCTCATAATCGGAGCTGGAGAAATAATTTATTCTGTTTATATCTTTTTACTGCACCGCAAGACTTGGGAGATGGAGCCCTCCACAGCCATTCTGCATTTTAAATATTAGTCCTAAGCACAGGGGGTCAGCCCTCGTGCTCGGTGGGGCATTTATTTGGGGCAGGAGAAGAAGGATAGGGACACCAGGAGGGCACACAAGGCGGGGAGAAGACAGCCATAGGCTTTAGCTGTTCAGTGTCTGCCAGATGACAGCCTATGGGCAGTGGGGACAAGTGCTGTCCCCTTTTCCCAGAGCTGGAGGGCATAGCCAGACCTTGGCTCACCTTCTTATCTTCATGCCTTGGAATATTTTTTTTTCCTCTTGGAAGTCTTTTATTTTTAAATGATAATAAATGCGGCTGACGGAGACGTAGAAGGAGAGGAACACCAGGACACCTTAATGGAGGGAGAAGAAGGAGGATGGCAGGGAGTGTGAGAGAGAAGCCAGAAGTCCTTCTGTCTTTTGACCTTGGCAGTTCTCATAAGATTCTTTGTCCTTCCGGCTAGCTTTGTTGAGCTCTAGAGGAGGCTAAACAAAATCCAGTGAAGTTGTGACAGTAAGAGTCGACGCTCCTTATGCCTTTTCTTCAGGAATCCCTTTTTATGGCAGGCGAATTTCATCCATCCTTCCACCCGGCCACTCATCCACCCTTTCATTCATATTCCCATCCATCCTTCCTTCCATCCATTCATCCATCCATCCACTGACCCACCAATCCATTCACCACCAATCATCCACCAATCCATTCACCCACCAATCCATCCAACCACTAATCCATCCACCCATCCATCCACCAATCCATCCATCCATCCATCCTCTCATGCATCCATCCATCCATCCATCCACTGACCCACCAATCCATCCATCCATCCATGCATCCATCCATCCATCCATCCATCCATCCATCCACTGACCCACCAATTCATCCATCCATCCATCCATCCATCCATCCATCCACCAATGCGTCCAACCACTAATCCATCCATCCACCAATCCATCCATCCATCCATCCTCTCATGCATCCATCCATCCATCCATCCATCCATCCACTGACCCACCAATCCATCCATCCATCCATGCATGCATCCATCCATCCACATAGTCACTTAGACAGCTGTGCTGGGCTCTATCTTGGGCTCAGAGGCAGCATATGTTCTAGAAGCAGAGTTCCTTGATTCTGCCCTTCCCCAATTGAATGGCTCTGAGAAACTCCCCTTGCCCTTTCCCGTGAAGTGGGAAGAACAACCCTCACCTGAAAACTGGTGTTGAGGTTTGCAGGAGATGCTGGCCAAGGGCTTGAGGCAGGCTGACCGGCTGGCAGTGGTCCTGCTGGCTTGGGAGGCAGATGAGTCTCTGGGAGTGTGGTCAGTGATGGCACCCTGGGGTCCATCCCAGTCATGGACTGTGGGGACTGGGGCACATACATTTTTAGCAAGTGCTAATCTGATCATATTTTGAGAAAATGGTTGTGGGTGGTGAGGGAGAAATGACCCTTTCCAATGCCCTCTTCCCCATCCAGTCTATCTTAGGCCATGTCCCCTTGTGGGTCCTCACAACCTCCGCTGTGGCACCTGCAGGGCACTGGGAGGGGCAGATGGGGGCGGGGTGTCTCCTCCCAGAGACCCTGGACCCTGCAGGCACTTCTGTACCTAGAAGGAGGGGCAGAGGGTTCCACTGTGAACTCTCACTGCCTTTCAGCTGTCCCCACGAATTGGGGCTCACGGACACCTGTGGGACCCACGGGTAGGTGGCTGAGGGTACCTGGACACCATGAGGCCTGAGCAGTAGGTGACTTGGCATAGCCATGGGGTCCTCCTCCTATAGTGTTCACCTCTCCTCCCCCTCTTCCTACCTCTTCCTCTGCCCTTCTCATTTCCTTCCCTCATCTTCCTCTCTTTCTCCCTCTTTACTTCCACTGCCTTTTTCTTCCCCTCTTCCTCTGTCCCTGTCACCCTGTTGCCACCTGTCTGCAGAGGACTAAGGGGCGAGTCCTCCCACTCCAGCCTCATGTCCTGTGTCTCCCTAGTAAAAGTTGTAAATCAGCCTCTCTATAAAATTCATACTTTGCCAGAAATCACTCAAGGACGGGGCAGAGGTGCCACCCACTTTGCAATTCTCCTTTCGGCTCCAGAATCCATTATACCCAGGGCTCCATACAGGAAATGCAGCAGAACCTGACGACTGATAGTGGACGTGAGTTCCTGCTCTGTCACTCCCCAGCTGTGTGAGCTTGGGCAAGTCCCTCGACCTCTGAGAGCACCCTGATGGGACAAATAATACCTTCCCTGATACAAGGCCAGCGATGGAGCTAGGGTATGCATTCCAATATGGCTGAATGCTGGGAAGACTGGAACCAACCCAAATGTTCAACAATAGACTTGTTTGAAAATAAGACAACACACACAACGGACTCAAGGAACTTTAAGCGGTGACTACAGAGAATCACATAACTGTCTCATCAGCTCGTGAATCTGGAAGACGATGCTGAGTGAGTCAGGCCAGGTGACCACATGTCGTGCACAGGACATGGTCTCAAGTTTCACAATGAAAAGATGGAAACTCCTGAAGGAAATACATTGACCACATTACCGCAGTGCCTGACATTCTGGATGATAACATTTTCTTTCTTTTGTTTATCTGAAATTTTGAGATTGTCTACAAGCAAATGGCATTTGTGCGGTATAGACAAATGTGCTATTAAGGGAAAAAAAAAAGACAAAGCTAGGCCACCTTGCAGAATTTTTGTGAGGCCACATGAAGCACAGATGGGTGGGGCTCCTAGCATGTGTCCATTCCTGGTCCCCCGTCTTTCTTCATCTCCCCACTCCCCCCGACCTTTTCCTGTTGGGTCAGACACCATATCCAAATGCAGGACACTGAATTTATTTTTTATCTCTTTCACCTGCTTTTCTAATCCTGTAATGCCTGAGTGGGAGGGAGTGGAGGAAGCACTCCCTCCAACCCCCACTTTTGCAAGTAGGGAAACTGAGGCAGAGAGGGGCAAGGGACTTGTTTTTGGATAGTGGCCTCAAGCCTCCTGAATCTCACTGGAGCCTTTTTGCTTGCCTTTTGCTAATGACACAAGCCTGCGCTGTGTAAGCACTGGAGAGCCCACAGCCCTGCTCCCCAGGGCCCTTCCATCCTAATACAGCTTTGTGGATAAACAGCCCCAGCTCACACCCGCTGTTTTTTTCTCCTTTTTCCCCCCACTCCTTTTCTCTCCCTCCCCTTTTGTTTTGAGCCACTCAGAATTACATGGGGGCATTCTTTTGACGTATTGGAGACAGACAAATCACACATCCATTCACTTGTCAACAGTTAGGTCCTCTGTGTGCTGGGCTGTGTTATATCAGAACAGAACCAAAAGCCTGGTTCCCAGAAACCGTCAAAAAGCCCCACTCACCAGAAAAGCTCCCCCTTTGGATGAGGAGGGGGGGTCTATGCACCCATCAAATCCTTTTGATATCAGAGACAAGAAGCAGACAAAATATTTTCATTTGCCCTGATTATAAAGGTAGGGACAAAAAGAAAATCACACAGTACTGAGGGAAAAAAAGATTTTTTTTATTAATCTTTCTTTTTTTAAAAAAAAAAGTTGACTTTTTAAAATTTTTTGTTTTTGTTTTTTTAGGTAAACCTCTTTCTGGCTCAACTCCCTCATACTGCCAACCCCCCTCTTAAAAATATAAAAATGTCCAACCCCAGGTAACTAGAGTACAATAAATAAACAGTAAACACAAAAACATACTTTATTTGTTTCTTCTTTATACAAAATAAGGAAACTAGAAGCGTTCGACTTCCAAAAAAGTATAGTGTACATCCTGACAGCCCAGCCTCCAGGCCCCGGGCAGGGACCTGGACCACCTCGCCCAGGGGCAGAGCAGGGTGGGCGGGTGTTCGAGTCCGGCCTGGACCCTCCGGCTCAAAACCAATGTCCAAGGAAGGAAGAGAGCGGAGCAGGTCTGCGGCTGGTCAGTCGTGACCACCCCACTTCCTAGAAAAGCTGACCTTGAGCCTCAAGATTGGCCACCAGGGGGCGCCAGCACGCAGCATCGCTCGCTCGCTCGCTAGCTCGCTCTCTCCATCTTCTCTCTGGCGGACGCTTTCCTCATTTCTCTCTCTCTCCCTTTCAATCTCTCTCTCTCTCTCTTTTTCTTATCACCTTTTCTTTTTAAAGATGGGGAAAGCAGAGCGAGAAATAAGATTACAAAATGACATTCGGCTTGCAGAGAGTTGGGGACACATGGTCTCCGCCCCTTGGCCTCTCTCGACCCTCGCTCAGTTCAAAGAGGTGGCGGTGGTGGATGGGGGTCGGGGGAAATCAGAGCGTGCTTGGAATCTCTTGACTCTCCAGAATATTGACTTTGGTCCCAAGAAATTGCTCACGGCTGCTGGAGAGCGCTGGTGGCGGGCTGGAGGTCCCCGAGGGCCAGCGGGGTGGAGGATGGGGGGACGGCCCCCCTCGGCGCGCAGCCCGGCAGCAGCTGCAGGTTGGGTTGCGGACCCGAGAGAGGACCCCTGAGGGTGACCCAGGCCAAGTCCGTTTTGGTTTTGGGGGGAGGGGCTGAGCTGTGTCCGGGCGGCTCCCCAGGGCGAGCGCAGGGGCGGCCCGGCCCGCGCCTTACCACACAGCCGCCTCGTTGAGCTCGGGGTTGGGGTGCGACAGCGCCCCGCTGTAGCCGCTGGTGCCGCTCATGGGGAACGGAGGGCTGGGCCCACCGCTGAACACCTCGCCGGGCATGGGATGCAGCGCGCCCGGCAGCCCCGGCTCCGGGCTTGGCGTGTCCGGGTGCGAGATCATGTCGGTGAACCTGGGGTTGTCCCCGGCGTGCGGGCCGGCGAGGGGCGGCTCCAGTGCGCCCAGCGGCGTCGAGCCGGGACCCGAGGCGGCCAGGAAGCTGGAGTCGGCCGGGGACTGCGCCTGCGACGGCGGGCCGTGCGCGAAGAAGTCGTAGTTACCTCCTGGCGCGTAGTAGTCGCCTTGGTAGTCTGCGGGAGGGAGGGGGAAGGACACAGAGACGTGAGACACTGAGAGGTCCCAGGTGGACCCGCGGGGACCGGGGTGACAAAGGCCAGGGACGCGCAGAGATCCAGTGTCAATGGGGACAGCGGGACAATGACCCGCGGAGGCCTGCGGAGACCAAGGGATAGGAGGTCTGAGACCCTTGGAGATGGTGGAGTGTGCAGGAGGCCCACGGAGAGGGCCTGTGACAAACAGATGGACAGACCCAGAGACAATAAGGGGCACAGAGCGGGAAAGATGCGAGACTTCAAAGTCACAGGTTCCCTGATACACAGACATACAGAGACAGCAGCATCAGGAACGCAGACAATTCCAGTGTCTTAGAGCTCCTGACAGAGACTCGGACACACAGAGACAGCTAGAGATGGCACAGACACGGAGTGGAAGGCAGCGAGGACACGCTGCAGCGGGAAGTCACCGCACCAGCCGGACAGATTGCAGGTGGAGTAAGACAGAATCAAGGACATGCAAAAAGAAAGATGAGAAGGGTTCGCTTAGAGAAAACCCCAAAGGTGGATGGAGAAAGACAGGAGCCAGGCAGAAGATGGAGAGACAGATGCATCCAGAGACCACGGGTGGATCAGTGAGATGAGTTCGAGGAACCGAGACGGAGGCTGAGAAACCAGGGAGCGGAGTCAGGAAAGGATGAACCCACGGACGCAGAGCAGAGCGCGAAATGGTCGGATCCGGGTGGCAACTGGCTGGGGAGAAGCCGAAAACTGGGCACCCGCCTGAGCGCAGAGGCACTGGCAGGTTGACCCTGGGGTGCACGAACTGCAGGCAGCGCACCCGTCACCTCTGAGCCCACCGACCTGGACCTGGCGCTGTTCTTTGTCCCTCCCTTCCCCCTTCCCCCGCCAGGGTCGGGATGGATGCTGGGCTCGACCATTTGAACCAGCCTGGATTAGAAAAAGCTAAGGCCAGTGACTTCTGTTGGGGGGTTGTCAGGACACCTAGGTTCTGAAGTATTTAGGGACATTGAACCCGTTTGACAAGCTAGTGGCAGCTATGGGTTCTCCCTGAGAGAAATTCACCAATGAATACTTTCCCCACAAATTCCCCCGTGCAGGACGCCAGGTCAGGCGTCCACCCTGGTCAAATTGCTTCTGCATCAGCTCTACCCTCCCAAAGCCCTTCCCTCAAGTCCAGTGATAGCCTTCCTCCGTCCCCAAAGGTCGGCCCCCTCAAGGATTGGGGTGGGGGGACCCCACCGAGCGAGCACCTTTGCAGCCAGCACAGGTAACAACAACCCGCTTAGTACGGTGGGAAAACCAGTCAGGGCTCCTCTGCAAGCCCATTCCACCTGCTCAGTCATGGGGTTTCAGCATGGGCGGGTTCCCAAGCCCCCATCTCCTCCATTCTTTTCCAAATCCTGAAACCTATCCAAATGGGGGTGTCTAGGAGCGCGGCGTGGAGACCGTTTAGGCAAAACTAAAACCATTGCTAATTACTTTCTAAAAGCCGCAAATTCCATCCGCCCCGAAAGTGAAGGAGAAGAGACGAATTTGGGGCCTCAAAGGGACAGGGATGGGGGACCGCCATGGCCCGCAGCGAGCCCGCAAAGCAGCGAAGGCCGCGGCCCAGGCGTCGTGCGCGCCGCCTCCGCCCATATGGCGGCCGGGCCGGAGGTAATTGGAACAAACGCCGTCTGAAAAGGGCACAAAAGCCGCAGCTGGGGCTTTGTCCGCGCTCCCACGGGGAGCCGCCGGCCCCGCCGCCCGGCCCCTTTCTCGCCCGCTGCCGGCCGCCACCGCCGGGATCTCCCAGCGCGGATTAGGCGGGGCTGCCTTGCTGGGGGCTGGGGAGTCCTGACCCCCCCCAGTTCGGGGGAAAGAGGGGTCGTGGTGTCCAACCCCCCCTCCACCCAATCCAGCAGGCGCGCAGGCGTGGGGGCGGCGGGATTGGTGCGGGACGTGCTGGTCGTCCCAGAAAGCTAGGTTAATTATCCAGGCGGGGAAAAATTCTGGACGGGTACCGCCCCCACCACCTTTTTACAGCGGGCTGAGATTTTGTGGGGAAGGAGGCAAAGATAGGCGCCGACAATGGCAGAATGGAGACCCTGGAGGACCCTGCTGCGGCTCCCCAACCTATGCCTTGCTACCGCAGAAAAAAGCACCACCTGGAAGCATTTTGCTCACAATTTCTAGAGGGCTTGGCCTAGTCTCCATATTAACATCCTAGTCCTTCGCAGGCCACTGAAGCAAACCGCTGCTGAGGTTCCCTGACGCACCTCCAGGACCTGCCTGGACGCCTGCCTCCTGCCCTCTTTCCCACTCATTGTCAATGAATTCACTTTTTAAAAGACAAGTCCCCTCTCTCAAACTGGGTAACAAAACCCACGGCAAGGCCTATGGCAGGAGCCACACAGATGCCGCTGAGGTTGGGCACTCCTGGTGGTTCCCCAAATTGGAAGGGTGGAGAATGAAAGGGAGGAAGGCGGGGAGGATGGTGGACCAGGGCTGTAGTGCCTTGGATCTAGGGGCTCCAAGTCCATGGAGGAGGAGCTGGGATGATGGTGGGCAGTTGGGATGGGCCACCAATCCATTGTGAGGGAAAAGAGGGAGCGGGAGAGAAAAAAGGGGAAAGAAGCGCCGATCAACCACAGAGTTTAGCCTCGCCTGAGCCTGATAATGCCGGGACTAGCCATTCTCCCCAGATCTAAAGATTTAAAGTGGACGGATGCGCGCTCCCAATCTAGACGCACTCCTGTGTGCTTGGGGCTGGAGGGAGGATCTGGACAATGCTGGAATTTGGTGCCAAATGCTCAGCTTAGCGTCCCCTCTGCAGCACCGAAGTTGCTGCCTCAGAAGCTAGCAAGGTGGGGAAAAGTGAACCCAAATCCCCTCCTTCCGTAACCCAAGCGCGTTCCAGCTTTTTCCAAATACTTGGGGCGAAAGGGCAAAGGCAGCAGGAAAGCTGTGTGTCCGGTGGGGGGAGGTGCCCCTCAGTATGACGCGGGGTCGTGACACCTGTTTCTCCTTTTGGGGTGTCTCAGTGTATGTGTGTGTGTGGAGGAGTAGAAAGTACCTGTGTGTGGTTGTATGTAATCGTATGTCTAGTTCTGTGTCCCTGAGGTCTCTGAACACAAGCCTGTGTGCGTACGCCCACGTGTCCTGGGAGGGTGACGGCGAGTGTGTATTTCGTGTGTATATCACGGGTGTGCATGCGTCTGCTTTTGTGTCCAGGAGGCATTTGTGAGTTGTGTGTGTCCATGTGTCTATCCAGGTGTCTTTGGTTGTGTACGTCCTGCGTGCGTGGGGCGGAGTAAGGGGTGTCTCTGGGCGGCAGAAATCGCACGCAGGCCGGGGCCCCCTGTGCCCTCAGCCTAGAACAGCTCGGGCCAAAGTGTGGATTAGCGCGTCTCAGGACGCCCCTTACCTCCGTAGTAAGTGTACGGGGTGGACCCCAACATTTCAGACTCGTCCAAGCGGCCGCCCAGCGGACGCATGCGCCGGGGACTCCGGAAGAAGGCGTGTCTCCGGGCACCCAGCGCGCTTAGCTGTTTCATGCGGCGTTCTTTGGACCGTCGGTTCTGAAACCACACCTGGGACAGAGGAGGGGGCTGTGAGCTCGGGGTCAGGAGTGCCCTCCCTTCCTCTTCCTGCCCTGGCTACCCCTGCTGGGTCCTAGTGCCTCTGGCGCACCAGGACTCCCTAGAGGTCGGGGCAGGGCCGGATTAGGCCGGGAGGGGCGGAGAGGGGCCGCGGCGAACCAGCCAAGGGTGAAGGATTTCGCGGACCCGTGGGGCGACTCATAAAGACTTGGGTTTCCCGGTTCTTGGCTTCCCCGCGGCCTGACGGCTTTATAAAGGCCTCCCGCCCGGCAAGGCTCTCTCCCGGGCTCCGGGCCGGGCTGGGGTCGTTTGTCTGTTTGCCAGCGCCTCGGCGCAGGGACATTGCTTCTTTCTCTGCTTGGAAAGGAGGGGTCCTGGAGCCCAGAAAGGCTTCAAACCTTCGTTGAGCGGAGCGCGGGCGGGGGTGTGGGGGAAATCCCTGTCCAAAATCACACCTCCAGGACAGTGGGGCTGGACTGAATCTTTGGTTCAAAATAACCCACCTCCGGCGGGTGCCCAGTTGTCCCTCAACCACAGCCCTGCGTGTTCTTAGGCCAGGAGGCTGGTGGGAGGCTCCTCCTCGGAGGCTCCTGGCCCCAGCGAGGGTGGAAGGAGTGACCGGGCCGGGCGGTACCTGGATGACCCGCATGTTGAGACCCGTCTCCTGGGCCAGCTGCTCTCGGATGTGGCGCGTGGGTTTGGGCGTGGCGGCGAAGGCGGCCTTGAGTGTCTCCAGCTGCTTGGCTTTGATGGTGGTGCGCGGGCCGCGCCGTTTGGTGCCCGAGTTCTGCTCCTCGTTCTCGTTGTTGGCCGTCTCCTTGTCCGACGAGGTCGAGTTGTCTGTCTCCTTGGGGTCGTCCTGCAATGGGTCCTGGAGGTCCGGGGACAAACTGCGGTCCGTACAGGATGACACTGCGGGCGGACGGATTGGGGAGGGGACAAGCGGTATCAACAGCGGCCCGATCTTTCTCCAGTTTAATGGCCGGTTCCAGCCGGCCCAGGCCACCGCAGGCCAATCTGGGTTCCCTCCCAAATCTGCGACAGCCCCTCCCCAAGAGACCCGGCGCCCGCCCACTCTCTCCTGGCGGGGCTGGGGCTTTGAAAGGGACTTTGGAGGCCCTCAGCTCGTCTGAGAAGAGCGAGAGAGAGAGAGAGAGAGAGAGAGAGAGAGAGAGAGAGAGAGAGAGAGAGAGAGAGTGTGTGTGTGTCTGTGTGTGTGTGTGTGTGTGTGTGTGTGTGGAGGGGGGTGGCATGCCCTCTGAGAATCCGCCTTCTAGGAGAGGGGACTGAGGAGAGCACAGACGTCCCCTTCCATCTTCCTTTCCCTTCTCTCTGCCCTCCAAATTCCAATGAGCGCCCTCCCAGTGCACCTAGAAGTTATTAGGACCTCAAACGACACAGAAGGGTGAATTATACAGTTCCAAATTAGGGGAGGAGGGCAAATTGGAGAGAGCTCAGAACTGGAGGACTCGGAATAGCTATGGCTCCTAGGATGGGCTCCAATGCTCCCTGTTCTCTAGGCTTCACTGCCCTCTCCTTGCCCTGGAATTGCCTGGTGGGTGAATTGTGTGCTGAGCTCTGAGCCCAGCACCGACTTGGGCACTGGGAGACAGTAGAGAGTGCCAGCCTGGGCAGGGCAAGAAGGGCACTAAGGCCAAGAGCTAAGGAAGGGCAGAGGCCTCCATACCTGAGTTAAGGCTGCCCTCCTTGAGGCTGGAGGAGCTCAAGTAGTCGTCCTTGCACACGAACTTATTCTCGTCGATGACGTAGAGTTCCTCCCCGGTGGACAGCTGCTTATTGCACACCATACAGGTGAAGCAGTTGAGGTGGAAGACTTTGCTCCGGGCTTTGCGCACCAGGTCGCTGGGCGAGATGCCTTGCGCACAGCCGGCGCACTTCGTGCCGAAGCGCCTGTGGACACATGGCGGGCACTTGTCACTGCGAGGTGGGGAGGTAGGCCTGGTGTCCAGTCCACTCCAGCCCCCAACCTCATCCCATCTCCCCTGCGAAGCTTCTGTTTCCACATCTTTCAAGCAGAACCCTAATTCTACCCTTCCTAGCCAAAGCGGAATTGGGTCAATGTCTTGGGCTGTGCCTGGAATGGGTACTGTCCTGCTCCTAGTGGGTTGACTCAGACCCCACTGGGCTATGAAGGGATAAGCACTGGGTGCAGCCTTCAGCCAGGCAGGAGCTCAGAGTGTCCCAAGGCACCCTCCACCCACACACTCCTACATCTTGGCTAGATCTGTTTAGGCTGCTTTTGGAGTCTGTGTTCTGTGGTCCACCAAGGGTTTAAACCCAGCAGGCTGGGTTTGGATCATTTCCTGGCTTTGCCTTCTGGATCCTTTCTAGTTTGTTGGGGTACCAGGTAGGGCCAACCTGTCTGGACGGCTGGCCCTAGCAGCAGGGTGGGAGACCCCTCTCCTGGACTGGGCTTGAGCCTGGAAGAGGGCCCCTTCCTCTCATTCCCAGTTCTAACCAGGGACCTGCTGGATCTGGTCAGGAGCTAGGGCCAGCAGGGCCTCAGAGGGATGGATTCTGGAAACAGGGACTAGGTTTCAGCCCTCACCCCATCTCTGGCCCTGGCAGGCAGCAGAAGAATGGGAGCAGAAAGCAGTCCCGAACCCCACATGAATTTCTCAAATGCTACCTTTCCCTCCTTCCTGATCCAATTCCTTTTTCTTTCTTCCCTGAGCTCAGAGAGAAAGTGGCCTCCCCCACAATGGGTAGTGCAGACCCCCAAGGGCAGAAGTGAGGTGCAGGTTAGAGGAAGGCAAGGGGCTCAGGACTCTGGGAACCCCACATCTGCACACACCCATGTCTCTAAACAGGGCGAATTTGGGTGACATTGATGTAGTGAGGGCATTAGAAGCCATAAGTCACTTTTGGCCTTATCCGGCAGCGTAATTGGCCATATGCACCTTATCAAAAATCATTAGGTGCTTTGCAGGCTCCTCCACATTAGGGGTGTCGGGCCTCTGGGGCTGGAGAGTTTACACGTGTAAAGGCGCAGCTGACATTTTCTCCTATTCAAATTTCCAAGTGTAGAGTGGCTGGGGCCAGGCGGCAGTCTTTTTCCAAGGTGCTAATCACACCCCCCCCACCCCACCCCCAGCGCCTGCAATTTGCACTCACAAAGCCGGTCTGGGTGCCCTGTGGAAGCTAAACAGCAAAAACCCCACAGCATTTCTCAGCTGGGGAAACTGAGGCCCAGAGAGGCTATGTGTCCTGGCTTGCCTGAGAGCCCACATGGACTGACTGGGTGTGTGTGACACAGCCCAGGCCAGACTCCAAGATTCTGATTCTCAGTTTCCTATTTGGCCAATGCCTTTCAACACTGGAGAAAATGTTTAAGGGGTTAGGGTGGGGGTGGGGGGAGAAGGGTCTCTGTCCTTCCTGGCTGGACCAGGCTGGATCTGGGAAGTTTCTGTTTGTCCTGGAGGACATCCTCTGGGCTCAAGAATTCTGCTGGGAAGGGAGAAGCCTCCAGACACTTCTAACTCCAGGGAACATCTTTGCTTTCCAAGCTGGCTTGAAGCTTGTGTCTTGGGGAAGCAACTGTTGGAGAGGGTTGGAGAGCAAGTTTGTGGGGCTTCCTCTTCCCTGCCCCACCGCTGCTGGGAGCTGCCAGGAGGACCAGAGGCGAGGCAGCCTTCCTCCGCCTAGGCTCCGGACCTTTCCTGGACAGAAGATGGAGCAGGAGGAGAGCAGAGTGCTGCTCGCCCCCCATCTAAGCTGTGAGCCCGAGAGGTTGCGATGGGTTTCATGGTCCCCCCTTCCACGACGCCCAGATGGAGCGCGGGCAGGGCATCTGGCAGGCAAGCTGGGCGACGCGGCCTCTTACCTGAAGAAGTCATTTTTGCAGTAGAGCTTGCCCTCGCGCGAGAAGCACTTCTCCGAGAGGTTCGTTTTACACTCGCAGCACTGAACACATTTGATGTGCCACGCGCGGTCCAGCACGTTCAGCAGAAAGCGGTCGAGGATGGGCCGCTCGCAACCGGCACAGTGCACCATCATAGCCCCGCGTCCCGGCGGCTTGGGCCGCCTCGCCCTCCCTTTGGGGCCCCAGGCCCTTGGGGCCTCCTGGCCTGACTGCTGCTCTCCGCCTCTTGTCTCAGCCGCCGCCGGGCGAATCCGGTCCGGACCAAGACTCAGACGGTCAAGTCCTTGGCGCTCGCTACCCAGAGTGGGGTGAGGGGTGGTGGCGGTCACGACCTCATGCCACGGGTCGGGCGCCCCGGCGCTTATTCCGGGCTCCCCCAGGTGTCTTCGGTGGCTGCTGGCCTCGGCACTGCCAAACGGCTTTCCCCGGTGGCGGAGGCGCCGGCACTTTCCCCCACTTTCAAGCGGTCCCGATCCTCATCTTTGTCTGGCCGCCGCCTAATTCGCGCATCCTTATTCAGATTTGGTGACGTGGCGCAGCACGTAGGGGGCCCGCCGGCCAATGGGCGCGCCGTGGCCATGGCAACCTGTTAAATTTATAGCATATCTAAATTGGCTACAGCGTTGCGGTCCGGACAGAGCAAAAAAAACAAGGCATCAGTATTGTTGAGTATTACCTGTACCTGGTTCGGAGGCTAAGTAAGTATCTACCTTCCAGTTTGGGGCTGGGGAGGGGGGCGGGGGCGCGCGATCCGAAAACCGCGGCTCTCTCTCTGTCTCTCTCCCTCTCTCTGCAAATATTTGGGGGCCGAGGTTCCAAGGCCTAGTCAGAGAGGGACTTCCCACACCCTTTGCCACCCAGGGAACTTGCAGAAGTTGCACGAGGCCCCGAATGCGCTCTCATCCGCCTCCTCCTCCCCTGCCCTCCCCCCACCCCCACGTGGGACTTCAGCACCTCCACGCTGCTGGGGTCTGAGCCCAGGAGCTGCGACAACGCAGTTCTCAGGGCTTCTTTTGTCATACATGGGGCTAGGGCCCAGCCGGGCCTTTCTCAGGAGAGAGTGGAGGCCATGCCGCTAGGACATTTTTCCCTGGGCAGGTTGGAGAGGGGGCGGTGTCACCTGGTCCGGTTCCGACAGGGAGTTTCAGGCCCGAGCAACGCACTCACTAGGCTTTGAAGCAGCTAGGAGGTGGCATTATCACATCTGTCCCTTCCAGTTCCCAGGTCAGCCACTCGGGGACAGCGGTGAGTGGGTTGCACTTCCGAGGGAGGAGGCTAGCGACTGCGTGCGTGGGCGCCCTTTGCACTTTCACGGCCTGTGGGCTGTAAGTTCAGCCCTTTATAGGGCGCTGGAGCAGCAGCAAGACGTGTTGGAGGCTCGGGAGGGCACAGAGGTTGTGGGAGTGCATGGGGTGTAGCAGGTGTACGTGGGGGTGTAGGAGGGAGGTCTGTGGACCTGCAGGGGAGGGAAGGGACCAGGCCTTCTTTTCCTCGGGCTAGCCTGGCCAGGGCGCTTTCCAAGTTGGGGAGGCTGGGAGGGAGTGTACCGAAGGGAAGCGAGCTGATGGGGTAGTGCCTGGGCCCAAGGGTTGGAGCCAGAAGAATTTGTGCCAACACTTGGCTGTGAACGTTTGGGCATATTTACTGAGTTTGTCCCTGTTTATTCACTGTTCATCTATTTATAGTGTGTTAGTAATCAAGCTTGTACATCCATTTTGGTATGTGTATTTTTGTGTGCAAATTTGCATGTTTAATATTGCATATGGTCCTGCTAATGTTTGTGTGCGTGTTAATGTGTCCGTTTTAATTTTTGTTAATCTGTGTGCGTGTGTGTGTTTACTAGAGGGGGCGTGAATGTGAGAACGTTTGCATGTGCAAATGCACACTGGTTTGAGATGATTTATGCTTGTGTGTGCTAACATTGATGGGAAGGTACACTTCCCAGCTGAATGTGCGTGTTTGTGTGTAAATGACTGTGTGCGTGCCAGAGACCCTGTGTGTGTGACTCAGCTGGCTTGGGTGTATTTGTGAGCGCAGAATTTTGTAGATCTGCATTTGTGTCTCTCACCTGTTTGTTTGGACAGTGGATTTTTGCTTACGTGACTCCTGTAGGTTTGCAGGGTATGTTTGTATTCACGTGAGCACTTACCTTTATGGATTGGGGTGGGGTAGTGAGCAAGATTTGCAGGTGCTACAGTTGGGGCACAGAGATGCCTACTTGTCCCTCAGTCCTCTATAGAGCTATCCCCTACAGTCTGTAGGAGAGGTGGTCTCACTGGGGCCAAGGAATTGATGGGTGCTGCTCCCCAGTGAAGCACTGATCCACCAGCTTGACCTCTGCAAGACAAGTCCTCAACCCCAGCAGCTTCTGCTGGTTGGTGCTGTTATCTGATCCTCTAGCTTGTCAGGGGATCCACATTTAAACAACACAGAAGTGGAGCCAGTAGGAACCGGAGCCGGGTTCAGCCAGGAACAAGTAGGATGGAGCTCGCTTGGCTTCCTAGGCCCTTGGAGGCAGAGAGGCTCCAAGAGTCTCAGTGAAACGTCTCCAGCAGCACCTGGCTTGCTGCCTGGGGCCTGAATAGTCCTTGAGCCTGGCAGGGCAGAGATGAAAGAAATAAGAACCTGAGAGAATGGGGAGCAAGGCGCCACACTCCAGGCAGACGCAGATGCTCTGCCTTCCCAGTCTTTGTCTCCTGGAGCTTTTTCAGTCTCCCTAGTTCTCACTTCTAGGTGTTACGGTCTCTGTTTCACTCTTAGGCTTAGCTTCCCTTGTTTCTCTGTTTCTCCCTCCCTTTCAGTTTCTGTTTCTCTCTCTTCCTCCCTCTGCATCTTTGCCTGGACTTCTGAGTCCAGCATGTGCTCAGTGTTTTGAATGCTTTTCATGGTGCATGTCCAGATTTGGGGGTATGGGGAGAAGATTCACACCCACAAACTCTACAGTCATTAAAACTCCCCATCTACTGGCTTTCTTTGCTTCAGACTGGGTGCACTGAGTCCACCGTCCCTCAAGCCATCACAAGGACTCTAAGGATCCCAACCCCAGCCCTGGGCTCTGTCTATCTTTTGCCACTGGGACCTGTGTGCCCAACCCTATCCAACTCTCTTCTCCTGGAGTGTGCTTAAATGCCAGTGTACAGCCAGGGCCCAGCCACTGTGATGCCAGGCTGGGAGGTTGCAGGAGTAGGGACCCATAGCAGAGAGCAGCTACTTTGGGTCTCTCCAAGTCTGGATGTGAGTGAGCCACCTGGGGCTTACTCCCCGGCTTGCAGGAGATGAAGGTCCTACTTCCAGAAACCTTATCTGAACTTGTCCATGTTGCAACACCCCCTCCCCTCCCACAGGCGCTCTGGGCACCTCACCCTCTGTGCAGCCTGTCCCCAGTTCCAGAAGCCCCTCTGCCAGCCTCGGGCTGCCTGGAGGCTTGGGGACTCTTTTCCACAACATCTGAAAACGCCAGCAGACCAACTATTAGATGTATTATCCCGCCCTAACAGAGCTAACAGATGGTGACCAAGCAGTGAAATCCCCTCCTATATGTAACTAATAAACGGCTTGTATCTTAACAGGGTAATGCATGAAGACGCAATGTCACTTATACAAGATGTTGATGGAATTTACTATATAAAAATCTTCCTCCTAGAGTAAAGAGTATCAACATTACAACTCGACAGACGGCGGCGGGATAAGTAAAACAGACAAAAGACAAACACGACAATAATCTGTTTCCAATCACTTAAGCCGTGTAGGGTTAGTAATATGCGGTTTGCATATTCCCCCTTGAGTTTGGTAATTAATTACTGGTGAGGAGGCGCACACCCGCCCAGAGTGGGAGTTTTAAGGCGCGCTGAGCTGGGGGCACGGGGTGCCTTTCTGACTTCTCCAGCCGGGGACACCGGACACCACCGGAATGAGGGCTTTTCCAGGCCTTTGGAGCTGCTCTTCCTCTAGATTGAAGAGGACATTTTGGTTGCACCTCTCTCCCCCTTTTATTTTTTGGGGGTCTTCTGCCTGCAAGATTCTGCAGCCAAACAGGAAAGGGGCGTCTCTGGGGACCAGTGTCTCTCCCCCCACACGCCCCGTCTTTCTTAAGGCATTTCCTCTGTTTGAATGGCCAAGAGTGGCCGGCTTCTCGGAGAACGCGCGCTCCAGGGGCTGCGGTGGCTTCGGGAACCCATGAAGCGCGCCCCTCTTCTTCCCCGAAGTATCTTGGGCGACGCAGCCGGTCCTTTCCCGACCTCGATCATTACATCCTCTCCCCCCCACCCAACACGCATACTCATCCCCCCACCCCCAAGAGCCAGCGCGGCTTTAACATTAAACAAACGCAGCGAGCGCCTGGGAGCTGCGCTCTCGGCCGGTCTGCGCGGTGGCGGCGGCGTTACAAATTGTAAATTTAAATTGCTCGCCGGATTCATTACCTCCCCTCTTTGATTTCAGCCAGCCGTGAAAAATTATACTGGTGTACCACTGAGAAACTGTTTTGCCGCAAAGAGCCCGCGCCTAATCACTGGCTTTCTCCCTTCGACAAAAGTGTAATTATTTTGTTTGGGGAGTAAATATAGGCCTCCCCGCGCACACACACTCAGCGTCCCGCCGCGCCGCCGCGCACGGCCCGCCGCCGCGCGGAATTGGCCCCGAGTAGGAGCAGGCGCGAAGGCTGGGCCGGAGCAGGGAGGCCAATGTGGTGCCCGGGACAGAGCCAGCGAGCCGAGCCGGCAACCCAGTCCCCATTCTCTGCCCTCTAGAGTGCGGGTTTAGCCGAAAACTCCCGGGCCCGTGGATACCCAAGCAGACCTGAGCGCACGCCCACAGGGTGTGCTGCGTGGGTCAGGGCGCAGGCTCAGGCCCAGACCCCCAGCACAGGGAAGCTGGAGGGACGGTGAGGGTGGGACTGTGGTGCGGAGGTAGTGGATGAGGGTTCCAGGGTTCCGGCTGGAGGGCAGCCCCTCGCCCAGGCAGGGGAGAGTCCTGGTCTGAGGGGAACCTGGGAGGCCCGGGCGAGGCGGCTCGAGTGCCCAACTCGCCCACTCCAGTGAACAGTTCGGTTTCCACTATATCTCTGCGGGGCGCAGGGCCTTCCTGTCAGTTGAATCCGTGCGCCGTTTAATTAACGGTCTCGTTAACTGGGCAGGCCCGACCTGGGATGTTTAACCAAAAAGGCGTGTCCTCTCCCTCTCCTCCCTTCCTCCTTCTGTCTTTCCCTCTTTCCTTGAGAAAGCTTGTCGGGAATTAAATCAACAATGGCGCCCTTCCCAAATTCACTTCCTTCCCAAGAGTCCCCTCCTTTACCAGGAAAGGGATGGGGGTTTCTGAATCGGAACTCAGCCCCAAAACAACATTTGTACTTGAGCTTTAAGGGAGATGCTCAGGGCCAGAGGGGACAGGGGTGGGGCGACACTGGAGTCAGTCCAGACTTGGGCATCTCCAGGCCCTAATCTGCAGGTGGTGGAGGTACGTCCCCAAAATGAGGGTTTGACCTGTGAGTGCTCCCGGGCTCAGAGATCCCAACTTCTCTTTCCTTCTTGCAAGTGGCCCTCCTGGAATGCACTTTCCCTTCTCCCCAGACATGCCACCCTGAGACTGCTGAAGTCCTACTAGTCTGCTGTTGGACAGTTAGACTTCATCCCTAGGGCAGAATTCAGGCTCCCCTGGTTGGGAAATTGTGCTCTGGAGTTGGTGGGAGGA